ACTCACACTTTCTTACTATCGTCGTACCAGTTTCCATCGAACGTGAGCCTCGCTCATTTAATTATTACATATTCCGATTGATCTGTCAATCCGACCAAATGCAAGCGGTCGTAGGAACCAGGAGCTGCTGCCGCTAGTCTGCATGGCGGCAACCCCACCCACACACCACACAAAACCACACAACACACTACACACACACCCCACACACCCCACACACACACCCACACACACACACACACACACCACACATCACCCACAAATAAAAAATCACATGCACACGTGGTGTACATAAATAACATACCACATCTTACATGGCACCTTATTTCCGCTAACAACTAATGTAACATTTTAATAATCTTGTAGAGTGTAATGCTCAGTTTTCAGGGTTGTGCTTGATCTAACATGTATATACAACGGTCCAATAAGCATATACAGAAAAAGAAAAATATAGCAAAGGCAAATAGATTCGCTCTTAGTCGTAAAAACATTTAGTATTGTGAGAATAGTCTCAGTAACTCTCTCGTCAGCTAAATGAACGTTGGTACGCTAAGGCGAGCATTTGGGCTATGTTTTGCGCATTAATGTAAAGTTCTCTTATCTATGTGTTTCATCAGGAACGCAGTGAAGCAAGAAACACAGATGTACTCCTGTGAGTCACAGTCCTCCGTACCACAACATACTCAACATACAGTACATCGTAGCTTTAGCGGGAGATATTAGAACTTTTTGGATGGCTGACTGGTTACAAATATGCGAGCCAACCTTAATGTACTCCTATGGGAACTCCTTGTCTCCGATAATGTCGTCCAAGAAATGACTCTGATCTGCAGTTTTGCCGCTAGACTCTGTCGGTTAACACAAGCAAAGAGATTTTAACGTTTTGTTCTCCAACATGGGAGATTCATTCCTGCTAAAGCAACTGTCTACTGAGTATCATCGACAGTTTGCGTTCTGGCAACACAGCAATCACTATTTCTTCACATACACCAAACATATCCGAATTGAGAAATCCCCGCTTGCCTGTCTCGTCAACATTTTCGTTCATTGCGATACTAACTTCCTGTTTGGCACGGCAATACGTCATCACCTACGCAGTTGGTGTTCACGAATACGGCTAACATCGCTAATTAATCAAGATGCCTTTTGTAGTGTTGATGAACAGCTCTGTTACGGCGCCATTTCGCTCCATCTACCGAATGAACGAGATCACGGGGACCGAAAGAACGAGATCGCGGGTACAAGCGGCCGAGATGGGTTTCTCCGCAGGGTGGCTGGTGTCTCCCTTAGGGATAAGGTGAGAAGTTCGGTCATCCGGGAGGGACTCGGAGTTGAACCGCTCCTCCTTCGCGTCGAAAGGAGCCAGTTGAGGTGGTTCGGGCACCTAGTTAGGATGCCACCTCGGCGCCTCCCTAGGGAGGTGTTCCAGGCATGTCCAGCTGGGAAGAGACCAAGGGGTAGACCTAGAACCAGATGGAGGGATTATATCTCTTCGCTGGCCTGGGAGCGCCTTGGGATCCCCCAGTCAGAGCTGGTTGATGTGGCCAGGGAGAAGAAAGTTTGGGGCTCTCTGCTGGAACTGCTACCTCCGCGACCCGACCACGGATAAGCGGGAGAAGATGGATGGATGGATGGATGGGAAATTATTTTGTTACAGGACCAGTGTGCTCAACATTACAATACAAATACTTACAAAGTGGAAAAGAGTTAACAATTAAAGATAAATTGAAAATGAAAAATAGTATATCAAATATATACAATATACACAATTCTGGATAATTAAAATGTTGTGTCAAAAATACCGCAGTAGCAGACTTTAGGTGGATATTTATTTTCCATTTTTAAAGTGGAAAATAAAGAGGAGTGCGGTTTGTAACTTGACCTCTGACTGGCGAGCGATTAAAACTCGGCAGAAACAGTGTAGCTGATAATATAGAGTCAGCCTTTGTTTTATGAGCTTTGCTCTTACTGCCGGAGTGCTTTAGCTGAAATATATTTCTGTTAGTGACTCGGCTCAACTTGCTCTCACTGGGTCAGAGCGACCCTGCGGTGAAGACAGGGAGGATGAGGGAAAATGTTCGGCCTGCGCTTCACACATGGACCATTTATTTGGTTTTCTCTTACTCTACAGAGCTGTCTTATTACTCTACAATCGCCAATCTGCTGCACCTTGACACCCACTTTTACAATAGGTGCCATGATTGTCATTACTCCCTTTTTAACATTGATTGCTCATCTTGATTTGCCGTCATGAATGTTGAGTATGAAAAGTAACAGCCAGGTGTGACTCTTTAACCCTCCTTTGTGTCGAAGCTGCGCTCGGATAATGAGCAAATCAGAATGTAGAAAGCGGAACAGGAAAAAGGAGGAAGGGACGCAGGACAAAGGTGGTGTAACCGAGAGCAGAGGGTGAGATAAGGGATGGCGCATAAAAACGGGAGAGATACCAGCGCGGTCTGGAGTGCCTCGAGAGTGAGGGGGTGTGAGCACGAGTCAAGAATCTTGAAGATGTGTGAGGAAGTATGTGAGGTGTGATGCTGCGTGACTAACGCCGGGCTCTGTAGCAGACAGTGAGGAGCTGAACTCTGCTGATGACTTTCTGCCGCCCTGCGGAGAGGGAGACCCACTCGGCTCATTAAAACTTGCAACATGTGGCTAATGCTCAGCAGTGTGTGTGTGTGTGTGTGTGTGTGTGTGTGTGTGTGTGTGTGTGTGTGTGTGTGTGTGTGTGTGTGTGTGTGTGTGTGTGTGTGTGTGTGTGTGTGTGTGGGCGGCACCTAGTTTGGTATGAAACAGTCAATGTTTATTTGTATTCTGCTCGGCCTTCATTATCACATACCCTGGCTTCCAGTTCTGTCAAGTTGTTACTATTCTACGACGGAGAGAAAGGAGTTTTGGTGGCGCGTCTGCTTTAAATTTAGTACCGTGAGTGGGTATGTCGTACAAATTTTCCTCTATCGTCTGTAACAAATTACCTGAGTCCTACGAGTCTACGCGACAAGTCGACAACTAGGGGAGACGAGATAAAGTAGGTGGCTGCTTCGAAACTGGTTTGCGTCGGCGGTACACTAGCACACGCTGCGAAGTGAAAAACTGGACCTGAAGTGTTAAGACAGTAAACCCTCACTTCTCTCAGGTAGGGGGACGGACGACGATTTCCAGGAATAAGTAAGGAACGTGTTTAGGGGAACTCAAAGGTCACATACTGAATTTCCGTTTGTATTATAGGACACCACACACAACACAGGGGCCATGAGGTCGCTCACGACTCCTGGGTAGAAACGGATACACGACACAGCTTACCTTTCTTACTCAAACGTGATTCGTGACGTCCACTCGTACCTCTAATGATGAGTGGTCGATGGCGAGTTCGGAATAGGGAGACGAACGACCTCCAAGGTGCAATAAATTTTCGGAAGATTACTGAACGTCTCCACAATCCGATCCCTTAACACCGGTTTTGCAGGTGTATTTTGTTAGTCGAAGGACTTGGTCCTCGAGGGATGACAAAACCTTACGTCGGTGTCTGATCCTCTCGAACCAAGTCCGTAGATTTGCTACAGTTTTACCCCCCCCCCCCCCCCCCGACTAGAGAAGTCTTCCGGCGAAATGTCTTGTAGATGAGTTTCAACCTGTTCACGGTGTCATCTTCGTCCTCCTTTTTTTCTCCAAACGAAACCACTTTGTGTCCCGGGATTCCGCGTATCTTAATAGCACATGCACAACTACGACACTAGCGAGTCGGTAGAAACCGTTTTGACGTTTTCGTCCTTTTTACTAAATTTTCAGGTCTAGTTGTTGAAGTTCTTATTTTTTACGGACTTTTCACACAGTCCATCGTTTCTGAGCGTATTGACTACCTAAACGTGCAGCGGACGAGAGATTTTGGTTTATGTAGTGTGTGGTCGTAAACTATCGTTTTCTACCTGGCGTATTCCGTCTCGCTTGTATATAGTCAGAACTGTCGTCTCCTTTATACATAGTCTCGTAAGTCACACCTAGTGCATGTGTCGTTGTGCATGTATCGATATGGAGGCTGTTTTATTTCATTGGCGGGTGTCCATACCTGTCATGTTACTTCGGTTGTGTTGTGGGCGGGTGTGTGTGTGTGTAGGCGGGTGTGTGGTGTNATTTAACTGGACAGTTGGAATATCATTATCATTAGTTTACCAGAGAGCAGAAAAGCCATGTGAATGTGAATAAAAATGATATTTATGAGTGTTAAACAAACTCATTTGTTTAACACTCATAAATATCATTTTTATTCACATTCACATGGCTTTTCTGCTCTCTGGTAAACTAATGATAATGATATTCCAACTGTCCAGTTAAATCAAATCTATTATTTGGCATTCAGTGACATGCTTTTTAAATGATATAACACAGAATATTAGTCAACATTAATATTCAGGGAAGAAAATAAGTCTACTTTTTTTGATGGGGGGCGGTAAGAGACCTGGATAATGGACAGGGGGGCGCTGGCCCAAAAAAGGTTGAGAACCCCTGATCTAGATGAATGCGACGAAGCAATTCATGCCGTTTTAGTGTTTTTAACGTTGAAATGGCAAGTGCAACAGGTGAAGATGAAGTTGTTGCGGAATTGTTGTCAGTACCCTTTTCAAGACAACAATTCAGTGAAAAGATGGACATTATAAGGGCGGGGAGCGGCGGGAGGTGTGTGTGTCTACAGAAGGTCCAGTTGTGATAGCATGGTTCGCCATTGCATTACACTAACATTAATGATGTCCGGTGCCTTGCTCAAGGGCACCCCGGCAGGGCCCATGAGGTGAACGGGGACCTCTCGAAGTAGCAGTCCACTCCATATTTAGGTCTGGTCTGGGACTTGAACCAGCGAGCCTACAGCTCACAGTCCAAGCCCCTACTGACTGAGCCACTGCCAACATAACAGTGTAACTCACACGTGCGGAACAGTTTTAACCAGTGGCGGCTGATGGAAAATATATTTGGTGGGGTTATGGAAATGGTGACCAAACCATAGGGTGGTCCGGGGGGATGCTCCCCCGGTTAAAATGTTGAGAAATTACCCCTTACATTAGGACTTCCGGTGATGTTAGAACGGGG